TAAACTTCAGATTTTTTTTTCAGTTAGCATAAATTTTTTCCAGTTTTTTTAAATATTTGAAAACTTTTAATTACTTTACTTTGTTTTTTTTAAAACTGGTACTTAATTGAAAATTTCAGCGATCTCATCTACCGTTACCTGAAGATACTTGCACAATGGGTGTTGGTGGGGTCATTGGATGCGATGAAATTTCTGATTTTCAACTGAACGCAGTTATTCGATCTTCAGCTTCAACTCATCTGGACAATATTACAGTTTTGATCATTGGCACAGAAAACGGTTCTGTTTTGCAAGTAAGAAAGAATTTCTTTCTTTTGATATGCAGTCATTTTTTCATTTACAGTTTAGAAAAAAAAAGGTAATTTTTCAGCACCATACTTTTAACTTTCATCAGTTTTGGCACATTAAAATTCAGCAAAAATTGGTTTTGCTCATTGAGCTTTTAATTATAATATTTTTCTGATAGTTTTTATTAAATGTCTGTCATTTTTTTTCTGTAGTGGTAATGACATGTCACATTTGGCCCACTGTATGGGCCGTAAAATCTAAACTTTAGTGACAGTTGAGCGGTGTCGGTAACCATTTTCAAACGGTTTTTATAACCGGATGAGTAACTGAGTGGTAATATTTGTCTTCAAAACTTCTCATTTACATTCCAAGGTTTTTCAGCCTGTTTTGCCTTCAAAGCAAGTTGAAAAAATTTTAAAAAAAATTTTTTTTATATTCCGTTGAATAATAGGGCAGTAGTCAACATAAAATTTGTTCTGGACTGTAAGAGTTTCTTTTGTTCGATGGCTGTTGACATTTTATAATAATTTTTGTTTGAACATATGAGAATGGAGGAACTGAAAAGAAAAAAATATTCAGTGTTGTATAATGAAGGCCTCATTACGAAATCCACTATTTTTATTGGATGGATATCCGCTTACTTGATGTTCACTTTCAGCTACATTATCGTGGAACCGAAATTGCAAGATATAAGGAACAAATTTTATACGACAAACCGGTTACAAATATCCGTTTTACTGATCAATTTTCGTACATCGTTACCAGCGGATCAAAAGTAACTAACTATTTCATAGTTTATCTTAGTTATTCAATCATTTGTTCTCTGATTTTTTGCATCTCAGTTCAATATATATTACAATTACTCGCAGTAGTGTATTTACAAACGAGTACCTCCTGATGAGTAATGTTACTTTCTCACTACAATTCAGAAAATCTTTTTGATTTGGAAATTATGATTAGGCGAAATTGTATACTGTTATTTTTGACAGCAAACCATTGGTCGCGTTCACCTACTCGAGTCCTCATTTCTGAAGTTTTACTAGCTTTTTGTTCCCGTCTGCTTTGAAAGACACTGCAAATCTTGAATGGCCTTCCAGTTTAGCGAGGCTAGTGAAGAAATTGGGTGTAAGAAGGTTTGAAGCAATGAGGAGATGATGGATTAGACAAGGGTGGGGGGTAAATGTGAAATAGAATTGCAGATTACAACGGATCTCCCAGAAGGCTTTTGATTCTGGGGTACAGAGAAAGAAGTAAAGAAAAAAGAAGGAAAGCAAACTAGTTAAGAGTCGGCTAAATATGTTTTCAGTATTACGATGTTCACGCGGAGATCTTCCTTAGCATAAGCTCAGTGTATGTTAGCCTTTTTGAAATGTGCAATTAGTGGTTCATAAATTCAAATGAGCTGTTAAAATTGCTGCATTTTTTTTT